ATTTATGTATAGTTTCTGTTTTAGATTGAAATATATTTTAAATAAAAATGACTAAAATAAGTAAACATAATTTTGATACTTTCTTCACCGCAACTGTATGTACATATGTATATTAGGGCGGGTCAATTTTTTTTTCGACATCGTTCCTATCAGATTCGGATTCTACATGAAATTCTAAGAAAAAAAGCCCTTTAGACCATAGCTCTAAAATCAATTTCGAGCCTGCGCAATTTTAAAAGAAAATATCTTTAATTAATACTAAGTCCATAATCAGATTAATATTTACTAAAGTGTTAGGAATGTTTTTTTTTGTAATAAAGAGTTGAGCTCCGGAGTTTTGTGATATGAAAAATTCATTTCTGATATCTATTTTTTATTTAAAGAACCGCAAGGTGGCGCTTCAAAGCAAATCTACTATATATTTGTGGAAGTATGTATGTATGTATGTGCCAGGTTGCAGCCTAAACGGATGGACAGAATCGAATAAAATTTGGCCAAAATATTGCCATGACTCCTGGATCTATAATAGGGTAAAAAATTGAAACTCGGCAAGGGGGGGAGGGGATGAGGGATACCTCCCATAGTGAAAATTTTTAGTCAGCTCTAACTTCGGAATTATAGCACATGAACTCGAAATTTGAAATGCACAGTTACCTATGGTAGGTGCTTATGGAAAGATATATGCATATAAATGAGTTTGTAAAAAGGGGCGTGGCACATCTCATAGGTTTGGAATCTTTTATCAGCTATAACAGCAGGCAGTATTAGTGATCTCAAATAAATTATAGATGATATGAAGTTCACCGGGTCATCTTCTATTCTTTAATATATACTACTTAAGTTAATATACGGATTAATATTTACTAAAGTGTTACGAACGTTATTTTTTTAATACAATAAGAAAAGAGTAACTATAATTTAAAGGAGTGGCACACAATGGCAAGAGTCGTCGCATGTGTGTATTCTTTCATATACATATATATGGGTCGTTCTTACCGTTATATATTTTTCATCCACTCGCTTATTCCTTACCGAAAATTTTAAATAAAAATTTAACAAGTTTTAACCACTGATACAGTACAGGTAGCAGTTTAAAATGGGTAACAGGGTAAACTTAATAAAGAAAATATTTTCTCTGGTTAAATTAATAAGCCTGCCCGGATAACACAAAATCCTAAGCTTAATAAACATTTAGTGTTATAAAAGTTTTATAAAGCTCTACTTGTAATTAGGAAAAATGCCAAAAAAAAATTATAAAATTGATTGATTGATTGATAAAAAGAGAGAGGGAGTTATGGCTATGACAATAGAAAGTAGAAAAAAGATACCTCGTGTTGAAAGCAAAAAGGGATCTAAAACCAAAAAAAAAAATATAAATACATTGTTAATCATAAAAAAATTCAAAAATAATTTTGATATATTGTAAAATTTTATTTTTTTTTTGGTTTTTTAAAGCTAAAGTTTTATTTACTTACAGTAACGGACAAAAGTATTGGCACAGTGAATTTTTCGCAATATAGGCCAAGTATTTTTTAGAAAAATTCCAAGTATGCAGTTTAATAATCCATTAATTTTAGTAAAAAAAAATTAAAAACTTTTAAAGTAAAAAAATTAAAAACTTTGCATATATGTAATGCGAAAATTTGCTGTGCCAAAACTTTTGTTCGACACTGTACATATAAAAAAATACATACAGTAACTTCTCCCGTTACAATAGTAAAAATATGTAATTTGCTTTGTAGTGCAATCTTGCGGTTCTTTAAATAGATATCAGAAATAAATTTTTCGTATCAATAAACTGTGCTTCGGAGTTTGTGCTTTGTGGTTTGTATTAAAAAAAAAAACATCCGTAACACTTTATTAAATATTAATCTGCATATTTTATCAATTCGTCGGAATATTTTTTTTATGTATGTTACCGCATAACTTTGGACTACGTTATCCGTTTTCTATAATTCTTTTTTAAAGGAGAGGTGGTTCCTCAGAGGTAGTCTCCTACTAATTGAGTGTAGATCCGATAATTTGGCCACGAAGAAAATAACGGTACTCTTAAACGTATATGAGAATTTAAGTCGGTTTTGTTTTTTTGTTTAAAATTTACTCCAGTGTAAACAGCTTCTATAAAAGAGTCGTAGGCCATATTTTTTTTGTTAGTTCAATTGTGGGACATTTGTATGAACTGCTTCGGCTAATACTTCGGCTTTTGTTCTCTTTTTATATCGAGGCTAAGTGCATTGTTCTACGGGGTGATATCATTGCCAAACATGATAGTACTTTGTTTGCCATCAATAAAGCCTCACGGAGTTACAGTATTCCACATTGATGCGAGCCTGAAAAGCTTTGAATAATATTTGCGAGTATGGCTTTTAGTTTTTACCGCTCAGGTAGGTGGCAGGCCTATAGAAAATATTTCTTAGTCAATAATTTTTCAAATACTTTTCGTTTGACACCTATATTATAATACATACTTTATCTTCTTAACTTAATTGAATTAAATTTTCGAAATTGGTGGCAACTCGACTCAAAAATATTTTCAGTAGTAAGCCTTCTTAAACCTTTTTAATTTGATACCCATATTGCAATATTTAATTTATCTTATCAATTTCATTTATTTTAAATTTTGAAACAGGTGGCAACCCCCCTCAGAAATATTTTCGCCTGTAAGCCTTCATAACCGCTTTCTTTTTACACCCATATTGCAATATCTAATTTATGTCATTAATTTACTTATACTGAAATTTTTAAACAGGTGGCAACTCTCTACTTTTTTCTGGTTTTAATCATCCGGATATTATAAAAAACAAACCAAAAAAATAAAAATATTCAAATCGGTCACGCCGTTTTCGAGTCTTAGCGAGGCTAACGGACAGCAATTCATTTTTATATATAAGATATCTTCTTTTAAAAATGCGCAGGCTCGAAATTGACTTTAGAGCTATGGTCTGGAGGAATTTTTTTCTTAGAATTTTATGAAGAATCCGAATATGCTAGGAACAATGTCGAAAAATATCGATCCATACAAATTGACCCGCCCTAATGTATATACATATACATATCGTCGTTTAAACTGCAAAACCGCGTATCAACAAAATGCAAAACTGCGTATGTGAAGTTGTAGTTTTCTAGAGCGTAAAAACACTCATATTTCAAAATGGTTATCTTTTTTATAAAGCAATCGCATTTCTGGCTAGTATATTTCAAGACGAATAGATAAGGATTGAGCCATGAGCTTGTGTGAGCAAATCCAATTTTCGGCAGCCAATGTCAGTTACGCAGTTTTGTACTTTAAACGACGATATATATGATATGACAACATGACTAGTTGTGATAACTTGAGAATCACCCAATTGTTGTATAAAAACAAAAGTACTTAAATCGAAAAAATGAGATCTGCCAAGCAGGTACTATCATCACGTGAACACAAAAAATATATGTAATTATATATATAGTATATATATCATACACCCCTGGTTATAATAAAAGGTACGCAATGTTTTGACCATTTTTGACTACTTTTATTTTGTTTATTAAATGCTTTTTTTTTATAAAAATCTAGCTCATTATAAAGAAAACACTACATAAATCCAGATTTCAAAGTTTGTAGAAAAATTTAAGAGTTCAATAAATTTTTACAACAATCCGTGCATTGAGAATTTTTAGAAAAATTCCAAGTAGTTTATAGCCCATTAAGTTTTTGCATAATAAAGCGTAAGACTGAAGGTGCTATAAACTACTTGCCTAGAATTTTTCTAAAAATGCCCAATGAATGGATTGTTGTGGAAATTTGTTGAACTCTTAAAGTTTTCTACAAACTTTGAAATCCGGATTTGTGTAGTGTTTTCTTTATAATGAGCTAGATTTTTATAAAAAAGCATGTAATAAACAAAATGAAAATTGTAAAAACTGGTCAAAATATCGTATATCTATTATTATGACGAAGGGTGTACATACGTACAAGAACAATCCAGTTTTTAATATGCATACAGTCACTTACACATGTAATATACAAAACAATATTAAATCATTTGTATAATTGTTAGCCTATAGGTTGTGTACAAAGGTTTGACAAGCAACATAAGTCATTTATAATATTGTCAATATACCATTATTTGTTATCTATATTTCAAAATGATACTTATTAAACCTTTGTACACAACCTATAGGCTAACAATGTTACAAATCGTCGCTCGAATAAAGAAACAGTGTAAATGCCACATACACTATTATTCGATAATTGCACCATTGTATAGACAATCCTTTAATCTATTAGATAAATCTTTAGTTTTCTTAAATATCTCTTTGGCTCACTAATTTATTCCCGAAAAACTAAATTGTATCTGTATGGTTTGTAATGGTTTATAAAAACTTCCAATTCCTTTTTCTCAAAACTATACTTTTCATGTTACACTATTTCATTATTCCAGCGACGAAATGATTTAATATTGTTTTCTATTTAAAGATGCCTTCACACGGGTTGATTTTTGTCGACTGGAAAATCGGCTAGCCAAAATATTTACATTTTACAGTGGAATTGCCATTTACCCGGGTCTTTTTCGGATGAACGACAAAAAACCGACCCGTGTAAAGGCAGCTTAACATGCAATGATGTAATAGATAATTATTTTAAATGTATAGCTTTTGAAACCTAAAACAAACATTCTAATGCACTTCAATTTCAATATTTGGATTATGTTTGAATTAAACTAAACTTATATAGGTATCTAATATAAAGTATACACAAGCATCAAGATGAGTCGTGACCTGCAAAGAAAAAGATATAAATGAATCTACATACATAAAAAATGCAAGAATAATAAGGTATGTGATACATAGAGATTGAGCTTACTTTCCTATTCTTCGGGCTCCAATTTAAGGGTCATTATGGCATTTGTCACAACTTGTATGGCCTTTGCTTGTTTCGCCGGGCTCATTTCGCTGACAGTGGACACAATCATTTGCCCAAATGCACGAAGGGTGTCACTACATTTTTGCCCAGCGCGCTCTTTCCATAGATCCTTGTACATTTTACATACCTCGCGAAACTCTCCATCTGCATCATTTTCTTGTCGTTTTCTTTTCTTCTGAGAAGTTGTCGGCGACTCCTCGAAGTCAAGAGAATCTGTCAGCACAGACGACTCCGACACCGAAAGCGACATCGGGAAATTTGGCGAAGGGGGGTATTCTACATACTCGTCCAAAATATTTGTTGTGCACCAAGTTCTATAAATTAAATTAATCGTAAACACTTAGTACATATATTACATTTTAAAATACTTGCGGTCTTGGCTTGACAAACTCCTTCAAGAAGCTCATATTTTCAAATAGTGGCCAGTTGTCCATCAGGGCCGCCGCACTTCCCGATGGTGCATCCGATTTCTTCAGCTCCCGGGAATATCTCTCGCGCAATGTCTGCCAGCGCCTAGTACATTGTTCCTCTATGATTATAACATAGTATTTTAGTTAAAATATGCACATAAAAACAATTTTACCAACCTGTTGCTCCCAACTCTCGTGCGATGCCTGTCCACGCCGCCCTCTTCCTCTCGGGCAATCTATAAGAAATACAAGATTTCTTGTAAATGGCTTCATTTGCCCGCACTAAATCCACCAGCCTCTCGTCGTCAATCATTCTGAAATTAAAAAAAGAAGAACAATTCAATTAAAATTTAGTATTTTTCACAAATAATTTCATACTTACATTTGCCCGCTTCTTTTGCCGCTTTCCAAATGTCAAATCTCTGCGTAAATGACAAATGTCAGTGTACAAGGAGAGTGGCAGCTCTCTTTGCGAATGTCACATAGCGAAAAATCAAAATTCTCCAGACTTCGCTGTCATGTTCTGTCGTGCGCTGCGTCGTATAATCGCTTGTATGCAAAGCTTATTAAACTGATTCGATATGTGATAGTACTCATGTTGTGCGCTGCAGCACAATGTAAGTATAACCAGCGCTTAAGGCCAACACAAAGCGCGTGCGTCGGTCGCCAGCTGTTGCAAATAAATAAAATTATATGAAATGTTTTTTCCTTTTAATCAAATGAGGGCAAGAAATATAATTTTTCATGCAATTATTGATATGAAGTATTAATTTATCTTTCGTTAATATGTTAATTTAGTGGCCAAAGTAGTATCTGCCAAGCTGCGTTCTATCAAACCAACGCTAACTACACAGTCAAAGCGAAAGTTCTATATGGACCAGCCTTAATTATCAAATACTGTTTAACACCCCAAATAGTAGTTTGTATTATACTACATACACACATATGTATGGGGACTAAACCAGGATTATTAATTTGAAAATGTTAATGTCCTACTCATTTATGAAATAAAAGACAAAAAATGATTTTTATAAATATTATATTCTCATTTATACATATGAAACATAGTTACTTAGCCGAATTACTTAGTTTCTAATTTATTTAATTGTTTAAATGTGCACATATTATAAGTTTAGTCTATATATGATACTTTGTCTAGAATATCATTATTTAATTTAACTATTAATAAATTGTTTAAAGTTTCTTTCGAGAGTCGTGTTCGCAATTTCGTTAAAATTGTGCCTAGAGCACTAAATGCCCTTTCAATTGAAACTTGTGTTGAAGGAACAGCGAGTACGACTTGTACTAACTGTCCAATGTCGTTATCATTTATAGAACGAGCTTTCCAATATTCAAGGATATCAGCTTCAAATGGGACCCTTTGCGTATTAGCAAGATTTTCTAATTTTTGCTTTAAATTTATTTGTAATGTGACTGCTGCGTTACTGCTTAGTAATCTGTCAAGTTGGTTATTCAATCTGAAAAAAGGTCTGCTCTGGCTTGTTGTTGGTGCTTCAATTTCACCCGCTTCATCGTTGTTGAGTGGATTTCCAGCTAATTCTTGAATAGCTTCGAATGTATTAAGAAGGTGTTCCTGAAAATAATGAATAAAATGCAAAGTATGTAGCTAATATTGTCCTTCGCATATACATACATATGTACATAGGCATAGTAATATTAATATGAATCTTAAATATACATGTTTTTAGGGCACTTACCACTGCTTTGTATTTTTGAGTTTGGTTCAAATATGGCGAATGTAAAAAATTGAACCTAGGGTCGACATAAATCGCTGATAAAAATGCTTCATTTTGCAAAAGCACGGCTTTCCTCTGTTTTACCGTTCTTAGTAAAGTCGAAGCGTAATCGTATTGGCTTGAAATTAGTTCCTGTAGTTCCAGTTCGCAAGTTAACCAGTCTCTATAAAAATCCCCAATAACATACTGTTCTGCTTGCAATTTAGTAGTACAATCCACAAGTGGTTTGAATGTCTGTAAAAATGCGTTGACAAAGCCCCAGTCAACATCTGGCATATTTGTGTAATTTTCCTCAATATAGCTCTTTACGTTAAGTAAGGAATTAAGCATCATATATGTTGAGTTCCAACGTGTTGCATTATCCAATATCGGCACGTTGCTCGTACCGCGGAGAATGCATCTGAGAGATTTAACGGCTTTTCTACAGCTTTCAATGTTAGTTTGCATTGTTTTAATGACATCGTATGCTGCTAACTGGAGGGTGTGTGCTGCACATCTAACCACAGCCATAGTTGATTTGAGGGTATTGTGCACTTCATCATACCCATCATCATCTACGTCATTGGAATCGGAGTCATCATTTGGATTGTTCTGAGGGAAGAAAATTTTTTATCAGTATTAATTATATGTATATTAAATCTTTTTAATGATTCCTAAACTCTAAATTTCTAAGGACTTCTAAACATGTCTTACCTGAACTTGACCTTGGGACATTTGAAGCAACTTCGATGTTTTTATTACATTGGCTCCATTATCAGTGGTGCTGGAATAAATCTGGCGAATTTCGATTTTAAATTGGTCCAAGCAATTAAGGATTTCTTGCTTTAAGTTTTCTCCGGTGTGTCTGCTTCTTAATTCCACCATTCCCAAAGTATGAATAATTATTTTATCTCCATCGATGTATTGCGCATTAATGCCTAATATATGGCGATTTTGTCTTGTCGCCACATCCATTTTAAGGCAAATAAGCCTCTTTTTTAAATTTTCAGCTATAATACTTTTTGTTTGTCCTGCCGCAAACCCAATTTTGTCCACAATATTTTTAGAATTTATTTTAAGGTCGAACATTTTTTCGTAAGGGTGTATGAGTTTCTTAAAGTACTTTTCGTCGTCAAAGATACGAAATGGGATACTTTTCACTGTTACCATCCCTACACATGCATTCAAAAATTCATTTTTGTCGATGTTTATTTCTGCGACTTTTTTTGCCCCTCTACTCGAGCGGGAATTTGTATTCTCGCTGACAGCAACTCCTTTATGCATAGTTGCATAATGCCTTTTAATATTATAAACACTTTTTCCTTTTAGTGATTTTTTGCACAGTAAACAGATTGAAATATTTGTATCCGCGTTAAAATTTACTAGGTTTTCCATTTTTAAATATACACTTGTTTCGTCGACGAATTATTAGTAAAGACTTATAAATGTTACCCCAAACCACACTCTCTTATATATGTACTTACCATTACGTTACTTCGTTTGCCTGCCTGAGTAAATTGTTTGCCTTTGATGTCTCGTTTTTTCCCCTTTGTCCACTCAGCTTTTACCTACTTCACATCGCCCCCGTTTGGTTTACCCGCTTTATATGCTCGCTCGTTTGCGTTTCCCGGATTTTCCCTATTCTCCGCCCATGGATGCTACCTAGTATGTATGCAGACATAGGCACCAAAGTGGAAAAATATGAAGCTTTTTGTAATAAAGAAAACATTGCTCAACAAGTTAACTAAATAAACTAATATCTGCAACCGTGAACGAAAAAATTACACAATATCTATGACTGCTTAGTACAATTGTAACGGCTTCGTATATTTCCGCGACCGCGTAGGACAATAGGAGCAGGGATCGGAAACTCGGCCTTTCCGACCTCGCCCAACAGTTCGTCTATAGCGTGGAGCGGAAACTAGGACTTTCCGCCTGCCTCACTTACAAAGTAACGACTACGGGAACATGGATCGGAAGCTCGGCCTTTCCGACCATGATCAACGGCCTGTAAACAGGGCGGAGCGGAAACTAGGTCTTTCCGCCCGCCGCACACAAAAGTAGACTGGAGACAAGGCCTCGCCAGCTACCCAAATTGCTATTGAATATCATTGTTATCTTTACAAGTTAATATTTATAATTATTTCACTCTGTAATGTATCACACATACTTAAATATTCTAAATCTTTTTATCTCAACTGTCTGTAAGAAAACATTTTTCTGTAGACTAAATAAATAAATAAATAAATAAATAAATAAATAAATAAATAAATTCTACTTGAAATGTTTCCAAAATTATTAAAAAAACACAATTATGATATTTTTCGAGTGAGAATGATATATTTATGCTATAAAACTACACACCAAGCATTGCTCTACATATAAATGTGATTAAAAAGTTTAAAACTTTGTTGAAATTTTCAAATTTTTTTACAAAGTATGAAACTTGCTTGGACTTGTATGGTCTGTCTCTCATGTACACTTAGGTCTTTTTTATGCGGTAGATGCGTTCTTCAGAAAGCCGCATAAAAAAGTTATTTAATTTCATACAAGAACAGGAGATGCGTTCCAGCATTTTCAAAACCCGTATAAATTCAGATACTTCAAAAAAAAAAAAAACAATTTATTTGTTCACTTCTGTATTTTAACCGAAACAAAAAATATCATAAAAAATACATGAATTATGTAAGAAAAATTGATTGCAAAAAAGTAATAAAAACTCTCAAAGAAGCAAAATCGATACAGCGAAAAAAATGTTTGAAAAACCTCATAAATTCAAATCCGCATAAAAAAGAACCACATAAAAAGAGACCTAAGTGTTTAAGTTGAAATTTTATAAGCTATTGAAAATTAAAAAAACTATACCTACATATACTACGTTAATACGTAAGCTATTTGCAAATAAAAATAATTTGCAAATACCTAACTCACTGTTTATTCGATGGTGAAAAATTCTTTTTTAATATTGCCTGATTATAAAAAGGCAATAATATGACAATCGAAAAAGAAAATAAAGTTAAAAATGGCAACGTCTTGATTATAAAAAGGCAATAAGATGACAATCGAAAAAGAAAATAAACCTAAGAATGGCGGCGTCTTGCGCTTATTTGCAAATAGTAGCACTAATCAATACTTATTTGCGTGATTTAGTTATTTGCAAATAAAAAGTTAACTCAGCGTTTATACGGCAAATTTTACCATTTTGCAAATTGTTATTTGCGAATAATACGTGCGTATAAGTACATAGTAATATATATGTATGCACATATGAGCCTACCTAGTAGATAAAACTGGCAAAAATAGCACGCATCTATTCTTCTGTGCATGAAAATATATACATAAATAAATACATACATATGTGTATATATGTATGTATATACATATCTACATGTGTGCATACAATCGTTTGCTCTAAATTCTTAGTTGATGCAATTTTTATCCCATACATTTTTGCTGACCAAACAACCCGTTTGCCTGTCTAATCTGCTTGCCTCATTTGCCTCGCTCGTTTACTCGCCTCGCTCGTCTGCTGCTGCAAATGAGTGCCTCGCTCGCAACGCCCCTCTCGCGAGGGCAGACCTAATGAGGTCCTCGTTTGCTTGCCGCTCTACTCTTGCGCCGCCCTCGTTTGCTTACTCGCTCGCTGGCTATTCGTCGCGTGCGCTCGTACCTAACGAGTGCTCATTTGCAAACAGCCTCGCGTGTTCCTCGTGAGTTGCGCTAACTCAGAGCAAACTAACGAGCGAGCGAGGGGCCAAAATGAGGCAAATCCGAACCCTGTCAGATATTATAGTGACATAATCAGTACAGTTGGGATCAAAAATCAGTACAAAGTCATAAAAATCAGCTCATTTTTAAGCGTATTTTTTATTATTAACAATATAACAACCAAATAAGAGCGCATTAATTTAACAAAAAATAACTAATAGACTTTTAAATACATATAGTATTATCAATATAAAAATTCATTACTTTAAAACAAATCAAAGGTATTACGTATGTATGTAAAGCTGTGCTCAGGAAAATAGTAGTAAAATGTATTGACAGGTTTTGAAATTTTTTTTTATTTCCTTACTTAATTAAAAATTTTTATAAAAATATAGTTAATTCTATAACAAAAGACATGTGAGTTGAGGTCTCAAACTTTCTAGAAAATTT